TACATTATTAGTATAGTATATTAGGATATCCCATGTAATTAGTATATTAGTATATCGCTATTAATATGAACGCCGATTGGAGGGGAGATTTTTATTCCCTACCATCGGGATGGTCTAAGGTCTTAGCGTATGTGGGTGGCAGTTTTTAAAGGCAGCAAAGATAAGTGTTTTACAAAGGTAAACCGTTTATTCCGGACGATAATGCTTACATAATTTTTTTGGCAAAGGTCCTTAAGTTCAGAACTTTGGGTTGTCTTCGAAAGTTGTTTTCGGTGTCGATCTGGTCCTAAGCTGGAGGGGCTCCGTGACTGTGTCGAGTGAAAAGTTCGAGATCTGAAGTGACAGCACACAAAAGATGAAAGGAAGCACGACAGCTGTCAACAAACGAACACAACAGGTAGTCTAGGTGGAAAGTCTTGGTGGAAGTCCTGTTGTCCTTGAATTTTGCGTTTTTATAGGTTTTTTGTGATCGGCTTCTTACTAATTGGATAGATCTTACATCATCGTTTTCTAATTGGTCTTCCACCTGTCTCCAGGTGTAAATGGAGCTTCGTAAAGTTCGCGGGAAAGGTCGGCTGGAGATGGTTTATCCGACACCATCTTTTCGACTCTGGTCGCATTTAATTGTTGACTATGACACCTACACTCATTTTGACATTTTTTCTAGTTTCGTTTTACTTTCTAAACTGCGTCTTAACTTTAATATTTTAAATTTTCTTCTTTTATATTTAAAATTTGGTTTTTCCATCTACTTTTGATGAGCGTCAACATCAAAGTCCGGTGTCGCCGATTCGACACTTATATAATTTGCTTTCTTCAGGATTTAACGTAGCAAATTTTTACATGGAGCCATTTCCGGGGCCTCACATTAACCAACTTTGCGTTGAATTTTCATCGATGTTTAGCCTAACAAATTTTTTTAAAAATAATAATCGCCACTATTGTATCATTAAAAATTATTTTATTGCTCACAAAACAAACAACCACTCAAAATTAGAAAATTAAGTCTTGTTTAAATACTGGTCTCCCTTCAATGGTTGAGCCATTGATGCCAGCTAAAATGCAAAAATTTAACAAAAATAATATTAAAGTATCCAAGACATAGCCAAATATTGTAGCGCCACATCACTAGAGGACATTTGAAATTTGCCAACTAGAACGGTTGGTTAACCGATGTGACAGTTAATCGGGGGTTGGATAATCGATGCTCTACTGCAGGGCTTCTTAAACTATGGGTTGCAAGATTTTAATGCAAAATATTGAAAATCATTTGTGAGAGTTTGAAAATGGCACGCTTTGTGTCATAGGTTTTATGAGTTGCGCTTTGTGTCACTTCTGGTGCAGCGAGACAACGATTCAACGAGCAACACTAGTGTGAACTAGTGTAGTATTGTCACTTTTCAGTGTATTCAGTTGTCTCTGCTCCATTGTAACACAAAGGTAAACTATGGTAGTACACCATTATTGTTTTTTGCAAATTTGTATATATCTTTTTTATATTTTTTGGGGGTCGCAAAAAAAATTACAATCATAAATGGGGTCGTGAATAAAAAAAGTTTAAGAAGCCCTGCTCTACTGTAATAACATTTTTATTGAAGAGTTGAGCTAGATAGAGGTTACCTGTAGCCTATTAAAGGTTACAGGTAACCTCTATCATTCATTAGCCTCTGGGAGGGAGATTGCAACTTCACATACAGGACACAGGAGACACAGGACAAATCTTTTTTTTTTTTTTTTGACAAAGTTACACCTTATATGCCTTAAATTTCGGTAAATAAAATGATATATTTTAAGGGTTTAAAATGAAAAAAGTAATAAATTAAACACCATAATACTAATATTACATAAATTAATTTTTTAAGCAAAAATGGAAAATTGTAATGGACACAAAATGATCATTTTAAGTGTTTTCTGATTCATCTTCAAATATGTTATTCATGTAATTATTCTATAGGATTTTATAGTAAGTATTATTTTCAGTAATATATGTTGCTTTTATAGGCAAACATTGATATTAAAAACTAGTTATTATCTATTGTATTTATTTTTTTTATAAATTATTGCTTAATTAATTATATAGTTTGAAATTGTTATAAATCTAAATAATAATTAATACTAACGCAGTGTTTTTCTTGCATTTATTAGTGTATAATGAGTTGTAGATATCCTATTGGATATTCTATAAATATATTGCCAGTTTATCTAGGGGGTCATTCATAAATGATGTTATGTCCCAAGGGAGGAAGGGGAGTTTAAGAAATGTGACAATCTGTGACAAGGGAGGAGAGGAGGTTTAGTGCAGCATTATGTCACTGCTTACTAACATATACAATTTGGGTTATAGGTGAATCATGTACAATAAAATCATGCATGCATTGTTTTTTTATTCTGTAACTCTCAGTATTGATATTGCAAAATTCCCCTAGAGATACCACTGACTACGAACATTTGCATGAGAATAAAAATGCAAAAAGTTGTATAGGAGAAAATTTGATCAGCACAAGTTGTATGTAATTTATCTTATCTCATAATTTTTGGACTTGTACCATTTCTATAGTCAATCCTAGTTTTTTTTAAAAATCAAGCCTCCTACTTGATTTTTGCCATCCAATACAGTGATGTCAAATCAAATGAATGTTACCTCTACTTATGGACGAACGTTCATTTCTGGAAAATTCAGTAAGTTTCATTTTACCATTTTTTGATTAAAATTTGCATTAAAAAATCCAATAGAAAAAATTTGAGAAGTTTTGGAAGAAGGAACTTTTCCTTCTGTAGAACTGTTGGCTGTGGTGTGGCAACATTGGTCCAATAGCATCACATTATTTAGCATGTTCCAGAATTGGGCATGTGGCAAATTGTGGATTACAATATGCTTCCTTGAAAAGTCTGCACAACCATTCTCAATGGTCTGCTGCAAATTCTCAAGGCCAAGCTCTAGTCAATTGAAAAAAATGACTGATTTAGGTTGCAGCAAGAAGGCAGAGGGAGTTCATGGTGATGACTGTATGTGACTGTGCCAAAGATGTTGAAGAATTTATGGACATGGAAAATCTCCTGGAAAGCATTTGCACAGGAATGGAAATAGCACCTCTTGGTATAGTTTCAATAAAAGAACACTTAACTAGTACATGAGAGTGAAAAAAATTTTTGGAATAAGCTACTTGATATTTATACTGTAAATAAAACTTCTTAAACTAAATTCCACTTATGATTGTTGTACTTTTAAAAAAGGGGGTGCATCTCATGTTACATCATTTTAAAAGGGGGTTTGAAAAATGTGGCAACATGTAGCAGGAGGGAGCAGGAGATTAAAATTCACCAAAAATAGCATGACATCATTTATGGAATTGATGTACTAAATATATAAATGATTTCATTCTTTATGTAATATAATCTTATAAATATAAAATACATGCCATTGAAATAAAAAACCAATATCAAACAGGAAAAGATTGAATAATGTAATGAATTTAAAATAGTCTCTGCTATTATGACAAATGTTTTAGATATTTCAAAATGTTTCAACTTTCAGAAAGGAATTTATTTAGAAAGCAGTTACTTCTTCCTAGAATTACATTATAAATCTCCTTTAAAAGCAAGATTAGTATTTTCTAGTAATTTCTAGTATAAGAATAAGGAATTTTGGAACCCTGTGCATGAATTTGACTGACTAATTGTACAACTAACAATGCTTGCTATGGAAACATAATGTAGAATCAGTCTGATCAATTTGATGGGATGAAGTGTAAACCAAGTTTTAAGGCTAGTTTACATAATATGACTACCACTGACATTTTGTCACATCCAAAAATATATCTACAAGATTTTTGGCAATTCAGAGGTTTACATGATGCACTGAATATGACTTTCAAATCATCCTAACATCTGAGCATGCACAAGAGCATTTGTTTCTGTCAAGAGTAGTAGGAACATGATTTAACACATAATTCACATTTCATCATTGATTGGTTGATGTGAAAGTGAAAAATCTGACAGATTAGATTTTCTGTGGCACTGTTGCAACTTGTTGAATCAAAGTCACCAATAAGTTGAGTTTGTTCAAATGAGGCAAACAGAGCTGTTGAGAGGGAGTTAGAATTGGAAATATTTTCTTGGGCCAGAAAAAAAATTAGGAGTGCCTAGTGGTTCTTACCTCTATAAATTAATGCTATTTTTCTAATAGAAAATAAAATCTTTAAGATTGCTTTTTTTTTAAATAAAGAAACATTTTACATATTTTATTTGTTCAAAAACAAAATGGCAAAAGAGACCTGGGAACAGAGTGGGTTGAATCCATTCATATTGTGGTTACAAACAACAAATTGTTGGCAGTAGTTGATAAACCAGCCTTTATATATATTCAGTTTTTAAGCAATACTGTTAATTAATGAAATCCTTGGAAAAATGGAAAAAGATGAGACAAACTTTTGATGACTCACAGATAACATGTCTCTAGTGTTTCTTGTGAAAAACTAAAGACATGTTAGAAGGGGTTAAATAAAATTTCAAAATTAAGCAATAAATTAAAATACAGTTGTCCCTCTATAGTCCGACGTTTTGTAATCCGACATGCTCAGTAGTCCAACACACCTTCCATCAAGGTCCCCATCTCCGTTACGTATCTGTTTGCACAGAAGCATGTTGCGACGTGAATCTCCCCACCCAATTCTTACATGATGACACACATTTCATGTGTTTTCCATGAGCAGTTCTGTTCGAACAGTTGGAGTAGAGAATATTGTAAGTTACTGCTAGCAAAACAATGCGAAATATGTAATTATTTTCGGTAATCCGGACACTTTTGGTAATCTGACACACCTTTGGTCCCATACCTGTCAGATTATCAAGGGACAACTGTACTTATTAAATAAAGCAAAACAAATTTTATTAAAAGTGCTTTACATAGTAATTATTTTCAAAATTTACTGTAACAAATAAATGGTTTTTAAGAAATTAACTGAACCATATTAAATGAAAAATTAAATTGATTAATATACCTGACTCCAGATTTGAAATATGAAAGAAATAACTTTGATTCATGTTGTTGTACTTCCCGATGTTGTACTGGACTTCCTCCTAAAACATCATCCAATTCAACAGATTTGATTGCAGCTGCACCTGCTTCATCCTATACAATTATAGTAGAATTTAAATAAACCATAAGATAATTTTTTTAACTTCTATACTAAATACAGAAAATAAAAACATTAACTAGGATAATTAGAGAATTAGTTTGACAATAAAGAAAAAAATTATTGTAGCACTTCAAATTTAAATTCTGCTTTTCCACATGTTTCTGAAGTTAAATTTGTGTTGAAGCTTAAATTTGAGATTTAACATTGCTTCTAGTTACTAATTTTTTTCTGAAACTCCTTTTAAAAATGAATGTGAATATTAAANGGGTGTCAGCCGCCCGGGGCGGAGGAAAATAAAAGGAGCCTCCCCTTATTTAGATATCTCAATTTAAAAGACTAAAATTCATTTTCGTCACAGAATAAGAAATGAAAATAGTACTGTAGTTAAATTACAAAGTTTTTTCACAGCTAAATCTATACATAAAAGCATTTTTTTTTCTTATTGTTCTTGTTAGTTTTTATTGTCCAAGTCAAGTGTTTCCCAGTCTGGAAATTTGCTTTCCATTAAAATACAGTATTGTAACAATCTGCCAAAATTATAATTTCAAAATTGGATCAAAGTTGAGTTTAGTAGAAGTTATGGTATAGTTTTATTATGTGGCAATACTGGTTATGTCACATGCTCTTAATTTAATGGGTTTTTGACAAGGAATGGTATATATACTCTCTCTTATGGCAAATATACCTATGGTTGTGTTCAAATTTAGATGGTTCATTGAAATTAGTGGTAGGATGAATCTATTTTAATTATATCAAACAAACATTAGCTTTTTTGGATGAACTAAAGTAAATGTTATAATAAATCTCCTGTAAAAATGAATCTAAACTTATTGCGTATCCTAGTATCGTATCGGTGTGGANATGGCAAATATACATATGGTTGTGTTCAAATTTAGATGGTTCATTGAAATTAGTGGTAGGATTAACCTATTTTAATTATATGAAATAAACATTAGCTTTTCTGGATATTTGGTTGAATTTAATATGACTAAGAATTGTTGCTAGGCCTGCATTGGAATAACAACTGAGTTCTATAAAATTTTTATGCATTGGCTTTTTTCAATAATATTGAGTATGTTTGATATTTAGAATCAAATGTAATAAAAATTTTGTTTTTATTTAAAAAGCAACAAACTTTCTGATATGCCTTTTTATATATTGTTCCTGAAAGGATATTCAAAAATAGAATAATTTTAATAAACATTACTAATAGGTAAAAATGTAGATCAGATGTAGGTCAACCTGTAATGACATGCCCATTTTTGGTTTGCAGTGATATATATAATCCATTGTTAGAAGTAAACATAAGCACTTTACAGGTCTTTCTTTGTTATATACACTGATATTTAGTTTTCAGTTTCACACCTTTTTACTTAACTGAATTCATAAAAATAATGCTAAAAATTGTCACCTGCATAACTGTAACACACATGCAGTTTGAATTAATGGGAATTTCTTGTAATTAAGATAGTTTGAAATCCCATTAGTTTGTAACTGTACTCTTGTCCTGGCCAAGAATATAGAGATTTACATGTTAAGGAATTTGGTTAGTTTGAAATACAGCTGCTTTGAAATTTGAAGTGAAAATTTGTTTTAACTGTGATATGCCTGTCAATTCCTTTGTTTAGATCAGTGTTTTTCAACCTGTGGGTCACAAAGCCATACATGGGGGGTTGCGGGTAAAAGAAAAAGACAAGTGTTTGTAGGTCCTACAAAAACTACAATTTCAATGAGAAGGCTGTGCCTGTTTATTTTACAGTACAATTAGGTTTTTGATCGATATTTAAATCTCAACAGAAAGAAAATTAAATACGTACCGGTAGTTTTTAAAATCACTAACATAGTTTTAATATGGCCGTGGGGGTCACCAGAATTTTTTAACTTGTAAAGGGGTCGCGTATTCAAGAAGGTTGAAAAACACTGGTTTAGATTGAAGTGCCTCCATACTATAAGAGAACAATAGACCAAGAATAACTTTAATCTGGTCAGTATGACTTTGTTTTTACAGTAACACACTTTTTGGTGTCACTTTACTACTTGACTACTTTTTTTTTCCATAAAATATGGCTGGGTTTCAAGATTGGGCTACAAGTAGCAGATTGATATATTTGTGGGGTCATGGCTATTACATTTGGGTGACTTACTACTAGGGTTTCTCAAACGAGATCCCAGTTTTTTTTTACTCAGGAAATTCTTCTCATCCTGGGAAATCCTGCAAATTTCTTTTTTTTTTCTTTCTTTTTTTCTTTGTGTTAAGATTGAGGAAAGTTTGCAAATAGAAAGTATAATTAACTCACAAACTGTCAGAATACATTTGTATTTATTAATTTTAAGCCTACTTATTAGTTTTTTTTTTAATTCTTGTTTGTTATGGCATGTCACAAATGGTCAATAATCAATAGCTTATTTGTGGCAGGACTCTCAAAATTCTTTACCTGTAATATCTGGAATAATTGTGCTTATGCTGTCTTAATTTTTAACCATGCCCACCAGTAGCTTCAATAACTGCATAACGCCAAGTTGTGCAGTTGGGCAAGGATACAAATGAGTACAAAGTCTGTAAGCATGAAGTTTTTCTTCATAACCTGATTATTAAAGACAAATGAACTGCTGAATTATTGGGCTATGATGTTTCTACTAAAGCAGTCGAGGTAGACAAATCAAGAATGTAGCACTTCTTTTGTTCTCTAGTAATTTTGAAAACAAACTAGAAATCTTTCAGGATACAGGTGAAAACATAATATTTGGGGTTTTGCACCACCCCAGAATTGTTGACCCTTCAAGATATTTTCCTCCAAAGATGAGTTTTTAATATTTATCAGTATACTGCCTGTTCTACATGCTTTTCATGTAGATGTGTGCTTTGATGCTCACTTATTCTCACCTCAGTGACTAGGTGGAGCCCCATGCCATCTAAAACTGTATAACATCAAGTATTCCATGAACAGTCAATTGGGCTACTTGAAGCTGACACGGTCGCATGGGCTAAATAGTTAAATGTGATAGTCTTAGCAGAGTGATGTGGACAACAGTATTGCATATCAGATTAAAGTTACAACTGGTGTCCCATTGACGGAAAAGAACTCATTGTACTTCAATGCATATTAAATATGCGCACAGATTTTGGATTACAATTCTAAATATTCTTTATTTAACCAAATATGTATTGAATTGGACATAGTCCAATTCAATACATATTTGGCTAAAAGAAAACTGCATTTCTTTTGTAGTCATTAAAGTCTGTTTAGTTTTCCTAAGCAATTTTATTTTTGCTTTTAACAATTTGGAGAGAACAAGAAGTGATCATGTACAAGTGTATAATTCAGCTTGCAGTGATTCTGAAAGTACAGTTAAATTCTGATGTAATTAATTCCATAATAATGAAATTTTCAGAATAGGAAATAATTTTCTTGTGTTTGGATAAACATACTTGTGGATCATTTTAGATATCTTTGCTGGCTTCTTCCTATATCTAATGCACAATACTCAGTTTTGTCTAAACTTTTCAAAACTTCGAGCTCCTGTACCAAAAATATAGTGACCTTGTCAAATTTGTTAAACAATCTGTTCAGTAAGTAGACTGGCTCTGCTGCTCTTCGTTTTTACGGCCTTGTCAAGATTTGTGAAACAAGCTGTAATAATAAATTGTGTAAGAGAGACCTCATTTTAATGAATCAATAATGTAATGTAATAAATATTTTTTATTGCAAAGCCTAAACTTCTCTACTCTACATAGAAACTGGAAACTTTTTTGGTGTAAATTAGTTTTTTTTTTAAAGTATATTTTTTGTTTTTGCTCAATTTGTTTAGTCATATAGTGTGTTGTCTGCAGTCTGGGAACAGCATGCTTAGAAAAAATGCTTTGTAAACTTTTTTTACTTCATTATGGTAATATTACAATCATTACATAGCTAATTTGTTTTATGTTTATATAAAAATTAAGATATTGTTTAGTAATTGGTATGTGATTATAAGAGCTTCACTTTGTCCATTATGAAATTTTGCTATATTGAATTAAATTTTTGTGATCACAAAAATTCATTTTAGTAAGATTGGACCTAAGTATAATAGTCTGCTGAAGAATTTTATGAAGTTGTTTGTGTATGCTGTTTTGATAATCTTATAAATTGTAGGAACTAAATTTGGTCAGTTATTACCATAGATTTTTTGTAACTTTTGTAAATGAAATTGTGGTAACAACTTTCATTTACAAAAGTTGTTACCACAATTTAAAAAGGTTGCAAATCCCCAATCCAGATGTTATACAATTGAACTTTGAGTGTTTAACTTAAATGAATTTGATTACCGTGGTGCCTCGTATAATGTACGCTGCGAACAATGGACTTTCCGTTCAGCAGTTACATGAGGCGAACAAGTGTGAATGATGTTTCCACTCTTTTGCCGTTGCCAATGACAATCTGCTATTTTTTATAATATATTAGTATTATTAGAATATATTATTAGTATATCTGAAGTACAGAGCTTCTGGCTTGCTTCCTTGTTTATTATGTACATCATCTCACTGCAGGGTATTTACATTTATTCACATGTTGGGCAAATCATGGCTTCTAAAAAAACAGAAAGGTGATTTCAATTTAAAAAAGCAAGAAATCATCAGGAGGAGTGAAAGTTGACAAAAACTTCCTTGTCAAATGGGGAGAGGTTTAGGAGTTTACCAACACTCATTATCCAGACAGAGCTGAGGACAACAGGATCAATGATCTCTACAAAAACACCCTTGCCCGTCATTTCCAACAGGTGTTGAAGAAGAGAGAGAAACAGACCACCTTGGACATATTTTTCAAGAAGCCAGCTGCCAAAAAACAAAGGATGGAACAAGAGGAGTTAACCCTGCAAGTTCCCGTAGCCTCTCCTGAATTTGACTACGATTAAAAAAATAATAAAAGTAGAACTGCTGCAATGTATAAAAAGTCTGTATCTATATGAATGTGTGAAAAAAGTGTTCCTCCACCTCCTCACAACATCTGA